TTGATGTCCCATATATAACTCCCTTCAATGTCACACCCATGGCTTCGCTTGACATCTTACTCTAGGCTTTGCTTGTGTCATGCCCATGGCTTCACTCAATGTTGAGAGTACAACTTCGTATGTCGTCCGGGACCTAAACTATCACCTGTGGCCTCATCCATCTTCCCTAACTTTATCTAAGTTCTCAATTATCATTCATAACATCCCAAGTCCACTATATCTTTAAGTTGGATGCAGCTTCTGTGCTCACCATATCATCAACTTCGCCGTGACAACATGATATATATTAAAAACACTCATGATATCTCAAGCACACAACATTGTATCTTACATTCCATGCTCCCTAATAGGGTAAACCATGTGGACACACTCCAACATGTCTCCTCATGCTCGATGTGCCCAATTCAACCAACACATCTCTTGCACTTGTGCCCTAATTACACAAAACATGTGTATGCTTGAAGTAACCTTCCAAATACATATCCATGCACTTGACGCATCCTAACTGTGTAAAGCATGCGACATGCCCAACAATATGTTGATTGCCCAATATGACCATCACGACCAACACATCCCTTGTGCTTGTGCCCTAATCATATAAAACATGTATTATGCTTGAAGTTGCCTTCCAAATATATCTCCACACACTTGATACAACCTAATTGTATAAAGTATACGACATGCTCGATATAGCCAAATAATTGAGGCATCATTGACATCTGACACATCCGCCTCACGTATGAACTTCTAAGATAATCCATAACCAAGTTTTTGATGTAAACACAACTATGGAGTTCGCATGATATGCACTGCACTCCATTATGAATAAATTATTCTAAAGTATAATCGAGGGTCAAATGATATTTTCAATATTCCATACTAATCAAAACCCAACAAATAGAACTCTATCCCATCAATATGAGTTGGAGGAGAGAATAATTTTTTATTTTTTTTAAATATTCCCTCACCACTCTATAAATAGGAATCTATGAAGCATGGTTTTGTGATCGAAAAACTTATTTTGGACTGACTTTGAATTAACTTGAGTATTGAAGTAATCATATTAGTACAACCTCGTGCTAGTTTTGCAATTGACATCTATGATCTAAGGGATTCTCCTTGAGGATTCAGCTTAAAGGAGTATCCACCATCTTAAAAATCTATTTCTATGTCGGAAGTGGCCAATTGACTTTTAGCTAGTGGCCCTGTCGATTTGGCTACCTGACATCAATCAAAAATCAATTTCGATATGAACATATGGATTTTGAGGATAGTTTAGTTTATGTAGGTTGCATATTTCTCAAGATTATAGATGGCATATATCCTAATTAAGAATTTATGTTATTAAAGGACCACATGATATATGCCATATAATGAATCATTATATATCAAATAACTATATGAGGGAAACCTACATGGGTGTGGGTTTTGGTTTCATTATTATAAATGATTTCGATAAATACTAGTTAGCTATTTGTGGAATGTATACCACATATTCTACTTACTAAATAATATTAAATATATATATATATATATATATTTCTTTATATCATTTTAATAAGTAGTTGATTTATTTTTCTTAAAAATAAAATATATATTGATGTGAATATTGTTAAGAAATCTAGGGACATCACATGTGTAGCGAAGGAAGAGAAAATAAAATTCTTAGATTTCCATAAAAAGATTTCATCATCGTGCGAAGAGTAGTCCATAAATACCCACGAAATCAAAAACCGCGTATATAAGAAAAATGTGTCATCTAGGGAGATCGTATATCCCTAAACACCTATAGATCTATAGGAGAGGATGAAGGAGGCCAACTGTCCTCCTCTCTAACGATGATCCATATGACAGGGGCTGCAAAGACACTCCTTAAATCGCTGTTCAAATCTCTTCCTCACGCACACCACACAATCAAGAAGGGGCTGCCCCTTCTTGTTGTCCACACGCCCCAAATAAGAGTTATAGGTTGAGGAGGAGAAGGAGAGAAGAGAATAGGAGATGGTAGTCAAAAACACTAGCCCATGACGCTTTGGTTCCCTCATATTTATAGAGGTCCTCTATCAACTTAACCCTAATGGATCCTGTCATATTGGTTATTAGATCTTCATCCAACTACCTAAGCCTTTTAGATTATTAGGTCTCTACCTAATAGTCTTTCATTGGCTCTTATTGAATTTCATATATAGGATCCAATATTTTATAGGCTTATTAAATATCCAATAAAATATGGGCTCCAACGGATATCTCATATCTGAACCTTTACTCGTCGTAACACCTATCATATGTGTGTGACCTTCTATGCGTAATATCGAGCTGGTCATGAGTCATACCTGTTAGAACTCCTTTTAGTTCAGTAAATTATTATCTACATAATAATTCACTCATCTCATCAACTACGGATTTACTAGGCTATTATGCTGCAGTCTCTAGATGATACAAGGGAATTCAATCCTTTGGAACTGTCTGTCCTCAATTACCACGTATCTATAGTCCCTCATCCATCTAATATCCCAAAGATCGTATTTCTGACATGGTTCTATCAGGCTTATACAGTTTTTAATCGAGTCTCACTCTAATCGGATTATCTCAGAGAACTCTTTCTCTCTCATTCCAAATGACCATAGCTAGGGACTTGCTTGAGCAAGAACATATATGATATTTCTCTCATGACATCAAGAGATGATGATCCTTTATTGATACTCAATAACCCTTGTAAGGTTAGCTGTCACTCTCGATTATTAGTTGTGCTAGATATGAAAGTTCTAGATATATAAGTCTGGTATCAAAGAGTTAAGTACTCATACAAGACATCTTTGGTATACCACTGGGATAACGGAATCGTTGTTTGATAATAAGGTATCATCAACCATCTAACATTTCATAAGCGGATCAATTAGTGAACTCATTCTCCAATGAGCATCTGCACTGTATCACTGGTTTTCCCACACGAACTGCTATGAGATCAGCGTCCTTCATCATATGGACGGGTATACAGCATATTAGTATATTTGGTTATCTCGATATCATTCTCGAGTAACCTATGGCCAAGATTATTTCGGGTTTGTGTTTAAAGGTGAATTAGTCTCATTATCATGATCTCATCATGATTCAATTCCCATTGTACAAATTAATTCACATCACTATATATATATATATATATATATATATATATATATATATATATATATATATATATATATATATATATATATATATATATGACTAGCGATCTCTTACTTGACCTAATGCCAATCACATATATATTTGATCCCCATTAAACCCTTGTGATGCTCAAAGACGATATGAGATAACGACTTTATTAATATATTTGTAATGTTATTTTGGGATGCAACTCTTTCCACTGCTACAGCTCCTCAGGCCACGATCTCTTTGATAAGGTGAAACCTTATCAGAATATACTTAGACTTCTAATGAGACCTAGGTTCCTTCGCTTGAGTAATCGTTTTGTTGATATCGTAATATAAAGGAATCAGCCTCTTGCTACCCAGCACGAGTCCTAGATCTGTGATGAACTTCTTCATCCAAACTCTCTCCTTTGTTGCCTCTACTATAGTAATGCACTTTGCCTTTGTGGTCGAGTCAGTAGTAATATCTTGCTTAAAACTCTTCCAGCATAATGATCCTCCATTCAGGATGAACACATACCCTGAATTAGACTTGCTGTCATTGACATCAGATTGGAAACTCGAGTCTGTGTAACCCTCAACACTGAGGCTGCTACCTTCATATACTAGTAAAAGATCCTTAGTCCTTCTCAAGTACTTAAGAATATACTTTATTACTTTTTAGTGCTCCAAGCTTGGATCCACTTGATATCTGCTCGTGACACTCAAAGCATATGCTATATCAGGCCTAATACATAGCATAGCATATATGATAGATCCTATCGTTGAGACATAGGGTATCTTATCCATATCTATCCTTTCTTTAGGAGTCTTTAGGGATATACTCTTAGAAAGCGATATCATATGTCTCATCGATATGAGACATCTCTTGGAATTTTTCATGTCAAATCTTTTGACAATGATATCTATGTGCCTGGACTAAGATAAGCCAAGCATCCTCTTGGTTCTATCTCTATAGATCTGAATTCCTAAAATATATGATGCTTTCCTTAAGTCCTTCATGAAGAAATATCTAGATAGCCCAGTCTTTACTTTGAAGAGTATTCCTATATCATTTCCAATGATCGGGATGTCATCTATATATAGCACCAAGATGGTGATAACACTCCAACTTACCTTCATGTACATATAATGTTCATATTTATTCTTAACGAAATTATAAGATATGATCGACTCATCAAATTTAATGTTCCAACTTCGGATAACGCTCCCCTCCTCACTCTTCATCCATTGAGGACACTCACTCAAGCTCAAGGTGGGATTAAGGGTGACACGACACATAGTGGAGCAGAAGATGTCAATGACTAAAGCGATGGCAACCATCAAATGCCTCTGATCGAGGGAGAGGGATATTTTTATTAAATTAAAAATACTTCCGAGATAAACAGGGGAGCATCATTAAAGCATAACACTAGGGACTCTTTTAAGGTAAAATACCCTATAATTTAAGCACCATGCGATACAAGCACGGGCACAGGGCAAATATTAGTTCTAATCCATTTCATCTCAGGAAGTTCTTTTACTCGCCCACCTACCTACCTCGTGATTTGGACAAAGCGACGGCTCTGAGATGGGTCCCGCTTGGAACTTTGTAGCTTCATCCAATCAGACTGACGAGGTGCGCGAGAGAACCAGACGTGAGGATACGAGGAAAGCGGTCCCCGACACCCAATTATCCGCACGTGTAGAAATCGCCTGCGCCTTCGATGGGCTTTAAATTGGCTCAGTAGACCACCAAAATAATAATAATAATAATAATAATAATAAATAAATAAATAAATAAATAAATAAACAAATAAAAAGAACTCCAAATCAGAATTAAAGAAATTATCAATTCGAGGTTTCCTCGAAGCGTTGTTCGAAAGATCGAATTTATCGATCGAGAGCGAGGAAAAGAGGAGAGAAGCGGTTGCCTCGCGTTCTCATTAACTTATTCTAATTCAGCCGGTTGGGCAGCTGCTCGATTCCTTCCCGTTCGCTTGAATTCGTCCGGCTCCTTGGATCTTGGAACGGGAGTCGGAGTTGTTCTTCATCAAACCATCTTCGGCGTCGTGCTTTCCCCTCCGTTCGCCGCCGCCGTAATTCGTCCCACGGCTGATGCACTGGCGACGAATGGTACCGGAGGTCGCCGGTGCCGCCTCATACTGTAGGTTTTTTATCGAGCATTAATTTAATCGATACTACGCGAGCTAGGGTTTGGGGCCGTTGATACAAATGTGGAGTTTGCTTCTCTTGACCGTCCTATTTTGATCGTGGAAAGAGAATTTGTAACTTTTTGCGATCGAGCTCCTTCTGGAATTTAGCGTATGGTTTGAGCCTCTGTGGCAGTGAGCCATTGACGTTGGTGTTTAACGCTATCCAATTTAGGGCTCATTGATATGCCCCAGACATTTCTTCTTCGTGTGTAGATTTTTTTTTGTTTTTTGTTTTTTGATGGTTGGAAAGTTGAAGGGCTTAGGATCATATTTTTTGTTTAAGCTGCACTTTTGATTGTGATGAGCTGTGTGTGGACGAAAGACACTTCAGAACTAGAAAGGCGTATGGTGTCGATGACGTAGTTTATTTATTGCTTTCATTTTATGTGCATGTTATTATCGCTAGGCAACTTACTTATCAACATTTTTCATTTACTTTCATGCATGATCTATGCTGAAATTGATCACTTTGCAGATTGCTTATCAGGGTCTCAATGGATTAAGCAAATATGTTGTTAACAGCCTTTATTCCACTAAGTATTGGGATTTAAGAATATTGTATCGTCAGCAAAAGTCCCGTGCTCCTTCATCTCCAATGGTTTTTATTGTTATGATTGGCACTTGAATGTTTCCAGCTTGTTGTACCGAAAGGCAGGAAGATGACTGCTCATGCTCATTTGTCTGGGCAGATTTCCACCCAGATGTCTACCCAAGTTAGCACACAAGTGTCTGTCCCATCCCAGCAGCTTGGAAGTTACATGATGCCTCAGATGCAGAGTCTTGGACCAAGACCCATGGATTCTGAACTTCAGAATGTTCGCTCTAGCATGCGGCAGAAGATGTAAGCAAATCTTACAACTTTGCAATTGTTTCAGCAGTTCTTTCTTTTTCACTACGGGGCATGCATTCTCAGTGTCATCCAATAGCCTTGGTGACTTAAGGTGATGATGTAGCCTAGACTAGGAGTTCCTTGGTGATGAACTTGGAAGAAAGCACTAATTGTTCTTCATCAACTTTAATTGGCGTCTTATTTCAGCTGGAGGTATTTTTGCCTCGGTTCAAGGGATCAGTTGTCCAATTACCCTTTGGTGCAATGTTTCCCTGCTATATGTATCCTTTGTATGCTTCTATCCAAGCTTAACATCTTGCTTTGCTTCTGGCCATCCTCCTTTGATTATTAGAAATTTTTTTATTATTGCAAAGTTAACTTAGTCATCTTAAAAGTCAAACCAACTGTAAAAGTTAAAGAATAGATTTAGAGCTAGCTGCATCTTCCATATAGGCTTAGCATATTATTTGGCTTCTTGATTGTCCATCTCAATGGAAGACTTCTTATGGTGTCATTTATAAGATGAGAGCTTCTTTAGTTACATTTTTACACCATTTTTCTGTAGTATACAACTTATGTTTCTGACCTATTACATATACCAATTTATTATTACATGAAGAAATTCAAAGAAGTATCTAATTTGTATGATAGACCAGACTGCACACATAGATATGGCATACTACTTCATCAGACATGACATACAGTGATCTTTTGGTGGGCCTTGACTCTAAACCTTGGTCTATGTGCCCATTATAAAAGTGTTTTCTTATATCCAGCAAAGAAACATTTTGACACTCAACAAATGCATGAATTAAGCTATCCAGGTTGCCTCAAAATTCATACCAAAGTCAGAATTAGAGCATAATATTGCGCTAGCATGTGCTTTCCAATCCAAGCTTAATATGTTACCTGGTTTCTCAGCCCAATGCTGGTTGGTTTTAGTTATAGTCAAGTTTTTGTTTTTTGCTTCCAGTACACATGTTATAAACTAACAAAGTTGTCATAAAATTCAAAATGAAGATAAATAATACATAGCATTAGAGCCGACATGCATCTTGACATCTAGTCTCACTTTGTTGCCTGGCTATTGACGGTACATCTTGAGTTCAGTTCAGCTCAATGAAAAACCTTGTGGTATCAGTAAATAGAAAATACATTCTTTTTCAAAGAAACTTCCCTTTTAGCACAACTTTTAATTCTGCAATATATGACTTATGTGTCTGATCTGTTTTGATGCTGATCTATTATTACCTAAAGAAACTGCAAGGAAGTTCCTGATGTATTTATATTCTGATCACATGCATACATATGACATAAGTAATATTTTTGTTGTGTCTTATAAATTTATGCATGTATATCATAGATCTTATATAGGAGGTATATAACATCAATCATTAGACTAGAAGCCAATTAGTCAAGGTGACAAATTGCTAGTTCTGTTACCATGGATATAAACATCCAGCTTTATGTTGTCATTATTGTGGGGATCTCCATTATTTACCTATGTCGATCCAGCATTTTATCTTGCCAACGAGACAATCCAAAAAGCACTCGATCATGATCAAATTTATAAGCCTACTTGGATATTGAGCATTTAAGCTAAAGCAGGGTAGCTACACTAGGAACAGAGTTGGCTTGTTAGAGCTAGTCATATGAACCAGTGAGCTAGGCACCTTGCTGTAGTTGCTATGGTAAACTGCAGTGAAACGAGTTGACTCTAGAAACTGAGGGTGTCATTCCATGTTGGAATGCTTTAACAAGGCCATTATGGAGATGCACAGCAATAAGAAAAAGGAATGGAGGAAAATGAGAAACTGTGAACCATGAAATAACTACAAGCTAGCATTGTTTGGCATCTTACCAGGCATTTCCATTGTATAATCTTCTGGAACTAGCTTAGGGGCTATAACACTTTGTAACATAAATATGGCTGGTTGTTCGACTCACTTTTGCCTTACTCATGTCATCTCTGTGATACGTTCAGATGATAGGATCTTATTATTCATAAGCAGGCATCTATTTGCTTGACATATTAAATTGTGTTAATGGAGACTTGTTGCTACATTATACTCACCAAAATTAAAGTAAAATATCTACATATCAAGAATAACAAGTACTTACCATCTGAAGTATCACTAGAAACTGATATTAATCTGGATACTCACTATTTGTCTCTTATTTTCTAGTTTCTCTTTGTTTATTGTGATATGTATTATTTCCTTACCATGCATAGTTAATATAAGAGATTATATTACCTGAGATAGAAGCTTAATTTCATGAATATTGTTCTCATTATTCTAGGACAAGTTGTATTGATATGCCTCGAACCAGACTTCTTAAGTTTGGTTCAGTTCAACAGTAGTTAGTAACGTAGTTTCTTACCCTCAAGAGCCACCCTTCATGCCCGCTTGACCTTGAGCTAACCCTAGCGTTGCTTTTGCCTCCGTTGCCGATGCTTACTACCATTGCCTCCACTGCAAACGCAGTGGACCGAGCCTTCTTTTATTGCCGACGGACGGGTTCGACGGCCTAGCAATAGCCCGTAGCTTCCTTCAGCCATTACTATGTGTTCAGTTCCTTCCACTATTGAGGGAGAGGACCACAGGTTCCTCCGTAACTGACAAACGCCCTCTGGAGTTTCCGCCACTGCCATCGTTGCCGTTTGCAGTGCTGCCATAGTTGTCTTAAACTAATCCCCCGTCACTACCATTGCCAGCTTCTCATCGTTGTTGTTGTCATTTTTCACTGTTGATTTCTACTTTATATTATCAATGAGCCTTTTATACTCCTCTGTTACTGTTAATAGTAAGTAATGTACTGTTAACAGTAATATTTTAATTTAATATCATATTTTTATTTAAATAATTATATTTATTAATTATATTATATTTTTTATATTTTAATAATTTAGAGCGCCTCGCTTCACTCAAGCGAACGCTTAACACCTCGGGCATTTTGGGACCTTTGCGTCTAGCGTTTTTTAAATCACTGTATTGAACATGTAATACCAATTGGTAGTGTTAAGAATAAAAAGAAAATACCACCTCTTAGATTACATGGCAGTTGTACCTCAAAAATTTGAGAAATTCACTCGTGGGATGATATGGCAAATGTTGTTGAGCTTTGTAAATTTTGTCCTAATGCACTTTTGTTATGAAATATGCACTTTCCCATAAGAGTGGTATTTGTGCATCATGCCATGGCATGGACCATATGGTCAGTGTGATTGGCTTTTAAGTAGACTTGGTTCTTAGTTTATTGCTGTTCACATTGAAGCAATATGTGACTAGGAAGTAGAGTATCATGAAATCTAATAACTAGTCACTATAAGATACTTTTGCATCAGTTTCTATTGGAGCATATAGTCTATCAGTTTCATAGAGTTGGAAAGTTTCTTCTGAATTATGGTGGATGCTAACAGATTTTGATATTGTAGGCTTCATTCACTGTCTCATTTATTAGTGTTGAAATAGTCTAGCATTCTCTTAACTGTCAACATATGTGCTTTTTCATTTTGTTATGACAATTACAAATGCTTGGATGTTCCAGCTACAAAATTCTTCAAAGAAGAACTCAAGCACTTTCTGAAGAATGGGTACGTAGGCTACCAGAAGTTGTTAGGCGTTTGGAGGAACGTATCTTCAAGGATTCTACAAGGGTAACTTTATTCTACCAATAGTTCTTTGCATCTCTATGGAAACTCTTATGAATTCAAGTTCTCATTCATCTGCTTGCTACTTAAGCCTGGGAAACACTAGTTTACTTAAAGTACTTTTAAAAAAGCTTAAATCCTTGAGTTATCTTTAGCTAAAAGGCTGTCTTCAGAGGCAGCCTTATATTATAAGCTGTTTCTGTTTCTGTGCTAGTCTTCATGGCCCATCTGATGCATGAATGGATCTGTGATCAGGATGTTTATTTGAATTTAGCTCTGGAACCAGTTGAACACCATTTATTCTCTGTAATAAAGAATGTTCTCAACAACAATCGGCCCTTATCACATCATATCACATCTTCCGCTAGTAGTACAACGAGTCCAACTCCTGGTACATTGAACAATGGCAGCACTAATGCTGCAACTTCAGTTCAATTAGAGAACCCTACAATTACTGCCACCGGCACTATTGTTTCAACTCAGACCACAGCAAACATGGGAAACTTAATATCAACTACAATTGGTCCAACTGATGCTGGAAATAACGCTTCCCTCAATACCTCAGATGGTAAATTTTTGTCTAGTTAGTCTGTTATTAACCTAGGGGTTTTCTTCCTGTCGATTGAATGTACATTTGTTGTAGGAACTGTTTCTAATGGTTACCAGCACCAAGCTGCCAATTTTGGTCTTGGTTCATGCACAAGTAGTGTAATGTCATCAACAAGCATACAAAGACAATTTAGTCAAATGATACCAACTCCTGCAATTGATAATCAAAAGGCAGTATCTGCAAACTATGAGTTTTCTGATGGAGCTGGATTTAATAGCACTGAGTCTACAGTGGCTCTTCGGTCATTCCAACAAAAGAAATTTTTTGCGAGTCAAAGCAGCCATATATTGCATAGTCTTGGTGCTCAAATTGGTGCTGAAATGAGGTCCAATGTTCTGCACAAGAGTTCCCCTTATGGGTTCTCAAATGGACTTGTAAATGGTGCATTAGGATTAATTGGGAACAACATGCAACTAAGTCGGCCTGCAGCATCTGAGAGTTTCCTGAGCCCAAATATTTATGCTAGTTCTCCAAAGCCTCTGCAGCAGAACATTGAGCGGCAACATCACCATTCAAGGATGCCAAGTAATATTTCCTTCTTTAAGGATAAGCAATGCTGTCGATTCATTTTTGCTTCTCTAGTTTCTACTCACGTAGTTAGTTTCCATTGTATATATGATGTTGCAAGTGTAATACCATAGCCTAATGCTAATTCACTGTCTGTCATTAAATTATAAGTTTGCTATTTATGACAAAACTTAAGAGGATGTAGCTTTGTTTTGCTGCAGCATCATTATCGCAACAAATATCACCTATGATTACTGATGATTATACAGTGAAGACGACTGATGAGATCCTTCATAGATCTGATTCATCTGGTTTGTCTGTTATGAACAACATGAATTCTGTAAGTTTGCATCTACAGTCAAGAGCAAACTCAGGGTTGCTAAATCATCATGCAAGTTTACAGTCTATGCAACTTCCTCTGAACACAAGACCTCAGTTGCTTGATCATTCAGAGAAAACGAATTACCGGTCATCCCAATCTACCACGGAGCTTCTGCTTCAATCACAACAGCATTTGCAGCAATCTCCACAGCAGCCTAATCAAGCTTATGCACAGTTTGTTCATAACCAGCTCCAACTACCACAGAGACATCAGCAAAGCATGCAGAACCAACAACTAACACTAAAGAATGGTCCTTTGAGAAAGTCTTCAATGACTTCAAATGTTGGTGAGCAGCTAGTGGCTGCTCATGCGAATGTGGCCTGTTCTGAATCTTTGAGTCTGTCAGCAGCTCAACAGGTCCAATCTTCAGAATTACAGACTCGACACCGGCCAAATACTTTTGCTGAAGGTCATTCTAAAAGTGCTCAATTTCTTGGTTACTTGCCCAGCTGTCAAGATTTTCAAGTTTCTGTCTCAGAGGACTCGCAGCAGTTGTTGCATCCACACCTACAGTCTGATGGTGTTTTGGATAACTTTGGATGGATATCTAGTGGATCGCAAGCAGAACTCATGCAGTTTCAGTGGCATCCTCAATCATTACAGAGAGCGCAAATGCCAGATAAACCATCATGCCAACTTCAGGAGGAGCTTCATCAAAGAAGAACAGGTCAAGATAAAGCTCCGCAATCTCATCTCTCTGCTAGAGAAGTGAATTATAGACGTGACAAATCTATGAGGCAACATAATTATTTGAAACAAATGAGGTGGCTATTGTTTCTGCATCATGCTCGCAGGTGTCCATCAATAAAGGGACTGTGTAAAGAAGCTAACTGCACAAAAGCTCAGGAGCTAGTTGTGCATATGGATATCTGTAACAGTGAGCAGTGTAAGTTTCCACGTTGTTTCCAATCTAGGAAACTTGTCGAGCATATCCGTAATTGCCAAGCAGCTGATTGTCCTGTCTGCATTCCAGTACGTGATCGTATAGCAGCAAACTATAAGGCACATGCTTGTGCTTTGTCTGATACTGTTTTGATGAGTGAAATAAAAATATGTGCTAATGGAATAAAAACAGATACAATTCCTCCTGAATATTCCAAGGACAGTCAGCCTGCATCTAAGCGCGTGAAGATTCAAAATATATCTCTTTTTCCTAATAGTGAAGCTTTGCAAGTCTGTGTTCCTTCTGGGAATGAGCAATATGATTTCCAGGAGGCACAGGCCCCAGAGTGCAAACAAACCATTGTGAAGATATCTGCTAATTCTGAGGTCATTGTTAAAATGGAAGAACCTTCTGGTCCTGGACAAGAAAAATTACCAATTTTTGGCAGTGATATCAATGAGAATATGAGTTTTACGAGCTGTGAAAAGGACAACAGTGTTTCTAACCCTGTCAACTCTCATGTCAAGCAGGAAACTATGGTAGTTGATATGCTGTTGGATCAGGTTGCCTCTGGAGTCAAGCAGAATCCAGATAACCAATCAACAGACCAAGTAACTGTAAGTAAATCAGGGAAGCCAAAGATCAAAGGAGTCTCGTTGATTGAATTGTTCACTCCGGAACAAATTAAGGAGCATATAATTGGTCTGAGGCAATGGATTGGTCAGGTTAAGTTTTTGACATGCTCAATATTATTCTTGTGTTACTTTTTCATATTTCAACTGACAAAGATATTTTTTAGCTTGGCAAAGCCCATTTATGAATTTTCCCCTTTTTTGGATACCCTTGTATCTGCATAACAGCATTCTTATGTTCTCCATTATTTAAATGATTGTTTAAGATAACTACTTGCTGTTCCTCTTCACTTAATAGTTTCTCTACTTCTTTTAGTTAAGTGGCTTATATCTTTTTTATGCTTAAGCCTTAACATTGTTGACTGGTTGGTACTTCTATAAAGGGCTCATGTGTGTTTGTATCACTATTGAAATGCCTTTGGCCTTACTAAACTATTTTGTTCGGAATTCCTGCACTAATAGGGTTTGGATGAGTGTGATATAGTTTACTGCCTTAAATAGAATTTTAATTGTCAATTTAAAAACATGAAGATGTTGAGCTTACATAAGTATGGTGGAGTGCACAAGGCTTCCAGCTATGTCTATGTGGGGTATGTGAAAAATCAGTATGCAGTCTTACACTTGCATATAGAGAGTCTTAAATGTTGAGCACATATTTGAGTGTGTATTTGCGTTAAATGGAAATTGTTGGATACTTGGATGTTCAATATAATTCATATTTTTGCTGGTTGATCTCTAGACATGTTTGTTGAATTTGAAATGCAACAGTGAAAACTTTGAAGACTTTTTGTAGCAACACCTGCAAACATCATTTGATTGTCAGTTGTATCAGTCTATGAGATTTCTTAAAGATATTTATTTAAAGCTTTAAATACTGGTCTTAGATCGCTTTCAGTGGAAGGTCGGACTCATATGTTACCAAGACACCGAGTGGTCTATTGATCTGCATTGCTTATTGAAAAAAAAGTGAATTGAGTGGTATTGAGCTTATATGGTGCATTGGGGGATATATTTGAAATGTTCAATGAGGGCCCCATGCACATTTTAAATATAAATTGATGTTTGATAAGTTTTCCTCAAATCACATTTGGCCCCATTGCAAATGCTCAAATTCTGATGCTACCCTAGGAAAACATTAGCATTTTAGCATTTGCTGGATGCTAATGAATTTTTTTCAATTTCCCAAATTACCCTAAAATAAAAAATTATCACTATATAATAGAAATCCTAACCCTCATTTCCTCTCCCCTTCTCTCGATTTCTCCCCTAACCAACATGATTTATGTGTTCGATAAGGTGAAATTTTATTTATTTCTTTTCAAAGGTTATTTGGCATCCATATATATGATTATATAGTTTTCTTTATTATATATCTAAGTCATACAATAATTTTTTTATAAGATTGCATACATTCATTCATTTACTTAATTTATTTTATTTACTTATTAATTTAAATGAAAAATATGTATTCATTTTTGAATAAATATTAAAAATATTAGAAGGGTAAATTTATCACAAAGTATTCAATGGACTTTTGAAAAACAATTTTACCAAACAACACCTATGCTAATGCATATTTGAATACAATTTTCATCTGTTGTTTATCAAACACTTAAGTCATTCTATAATTATGCATTCACTCAAATCATTTTCTTAAAATGCACATTAAAAATGTAAATGTGTTCCCAAAGGCACTTATAGTCCATTAATGGTGCTTGGTTGCATTAGTACATGCTAGTCCAATTGGTATTCTGAACCATGACTCAAAAGTATTTCTTATATCTTGGATAATTGGTTAAAGGATAAGCTGTCAGTTCTAGAACCATTGAATAAATAAATACAAACAAATTCTTTAACTTTTGGGGCATGTTTGTTTGGCAAATTTTACATTGTTTTTTCGGTGCATTTGTTGCATCTACTAATTCCATTTTACCACATTGTTCATGCTGAAATATAGTTAGAAAACTCAGCATCTGCCTTCATCTTTGGTAGAAAGGATTTTTTTTGTTATATTTTTTAATCATGGCTTATAGTTTTGTGGCAACTGGTTGTGCCAAATATGGTTCCACTGGGCAAAGGCTAATTGGCTGGACATGTATTAGTATTTCCAACATAAATTAGCATGGTGCATGTTGATAGCTTTCTGGTCTGTGGGCCAGCATGGCACTCTGTAGCACTTCAAGTATTGGGCTGCATTACTGTAAATATGCTGTGCAAAATTATTCAATCCAATAATTAGAACCATTATCCTAATAAAATTAAGATAATTGCAGCAGCCAGTGGTACATGAATTTATCTTTCTTCCCCACTGACCATCTATTTGGAAATATGATGAAGGTTGAACTTGATAGTAGTGATCCCAAATTAATAGGCTATTAGATAAGTCTATTAATGATATTTCTTTTTTCTTGGGGCAAACAGTGATGTGCATTTTTCTCATGTCCGTGACAAGGTGCTGATTATATATGCCATCTGATATCCTGTCATCTTAATAGCCAGTGTGGACAAATCAGGAGATTGTGTGCAACTAGCAGAACCAATTATATTTTAACATCTTTTAACATAATCAAAAGTCTTTTGGCTACTACACCTTAATATATTGATGTACACTCACTTGACGTAATATCTATGTTTATCAGGTTGTCTCATATTCATGATAACTTTTTAATAACTTGTACAGCCTGTAGTTCAAATTAACATTAGATAATTATGATCATTAAGTGTCAACAACACTTCATACCAAAATTCCTGTAGAAATTGGAGAGTAGAAGCTAATTGTTTCAATATTCTGTCAATAAAATTCAAGTCTTTAATGATGCTTCCACTGTCCTTTTATACCTGGGATGTAATTTTTCTACCCTCGTAGCTATTTGCCAAATTTAGAGGTTCCCATTTTTTCAACAATGGCCTCATCCAGTTTGTAAGTTTTTAATAACGTATGCAGATTAAAAAAACAATAAGGAAGAAAAGATTTGTTCAATCAAATAAGGCTTTCCTAAACGGATAAGGAAGTTATACATGGTAAACTAAGATGGGGTTTGGGCCTGTGTCACTGCTTATTTATTTTTTTGTGCATTATTCAAAGGTATCATTCTTTTGAGTTGTTGGCTACACGTTTGCCACATGGTGTGTATCAGATTATTCATTTCTTTGGAAAATGCATGTAAGATTATTCATGTCAATCAATGCAACTAACTAGTGTTAGTTCGTTCTTTTCTTTTTCCTGCAGAGTAAGGCCAAAGCTGAAAGGAATCAAGCAATGGAGCGCTTGATGACTGAGAACTCGTGCCAGCTTTGTGCAGTGGAAAAACTCATTTTTGAGCCCCCTCCAATATATTGTTCTCGATGTGGTGCTCGAATAAAGCGAAATGCATTTTATTATACAATTGGAAGTGGTGAAACCCGTCTCTACGTTTGTACACCATGCTATAATGAGGCTCGAGGTGACACTATAGAAGCTGAAGGATCTACATTCTTAAAGACAAAGCTTGAGAAGAAGAGAAATGATGAGGAAACTGAAGAATGGGTAAGTTTTTTCTTTGGCCTTTTCTTTTTCTTTTCTTATCTTTTTTGGGTTTTAGAGCCTACTATGCAAAAGTTTAAAGATTTGTCATCTGTGTTCTATAATAGTGGGTGCAATGTGATAAATGTGAAACTTGGCAACATCAAATATGTGCTCTATTTAATGGTCGAAGAAATGATGGAGAAGCCGAATACACTTGCCCTAGTTGCTACATGCAGGAGATAGAAAGTGGTGAACGCAAGCCCTTGCCCCAGAGTGCTGTTCTTGGTGCAAAAGATTTGCCAAGAACTTTTCTCAGTGATCACATAGAACAACGGCTTTTTAAACGGCTTAAGCAGGAGAGGCAAGAGAGATCCAGGCATCTTGGGAAAACTTTTGATGAGGTTAGTGGGATTTGTTTCCGTGTCCTTTTCAATTTTACAAATTGCAGTTTGGTCTGCACTTCTGATGGACATGAAAGACATTCTAGGAACCAAGATTCGCAATACTGTACCGTACCGGTATTTCGACCTGGGCTCGGTACCGGTACGGTACGGTATACCGAGCGGTACACCCAGGTGTATCGAGTACTGTAGCAGTAAACTGCTACAGTGCTACAGTACCTCGGAACGGTAACAGTCGGTCCGCGTACCGAAAACCTGTCGGACCGGTACGTACCGCCCGTACCGGGCGGTACAGCTCGGTATGGCAGACCCTGCTAGGAACTATAGCCAAAATCGTATAACTACATATTTTAGTAATAGTTCATAAATGGTGCCAAACAACCTCCATTTGATCAGACATCTATGGCATTACTAACCTCCGTTTGACCAGTGGCTTGGATTCCTTGTTCTTCTATTGTCCGTATATTGCTTCTCTTCTTCTCCTATTCCTGCTGTAATTTCTAATGTCATTTAAATGTCTAATCCAGATAACTTTGGTTGAACCTTGATAACTTCTGGACCTATAGTTCACTTCATAAACCATCTTCTATGAGTTCTGCATTTTAGTATTTGAGCTTCTAGTAAAACATCAGGTTTTATTGTGATCAGATTCATCTCTGATACCCATACTATATTTTTCTATCTTTGCCCTACTTTTTCAAATTTGCATTGCATGCTAGTTAAAATATGAGTTCCATTGGAACTCTAATTGTTCCTGCCATACATTATATGTGAGAAGGAAGAGATCTGCAGAATGACACGAGGTGTTCTTGGTACACTTTTTACATGAATCATTGAATCCTTTACTGATCAACTTGACATAATCAGAAGAATTAGGGCTCTATATAAGATCAGAACATCTTATCTATTTTGTCTTTAATCGGAATTATATCCAAAAATTTAAATCTACAACTAGTTATCTAACTTAAAAACAACTCCAAGATTTTAGAGAACACTTATCAAAGATCATGGAAAAAAAGCCAAAGTCTTATTAACCTGTCCCAGTCCTACAAATATGATGCACATTGCACAAGACTCCTCTAGTGTAAGTCTAGGAATTTTAACTTATGCAACCTGAGACCTCTATGCAGAGATCTTGTTTCATCAAAACCCAAGAATGATCCAACTAGCAATGAAGTAACCTTATTGTGGACTGAGACCAATAAAAAATATCTGGTGTTGCAATCATAAATTATGCTTTGCATATCATAATTAATACTCTCTGTTTGGTCTTAGTTAAGTCTTATTTATACATTACTTAATCTGAAAATGTTGAAATTGGTTTACTGTTATTCACATGCCATGATGTTAACTATGGAGAGAGTTACAAACCAATAATGGCATGAATCTTGTGCCCTCACCTTTTGATGGATTAATTATTTAAGTTCTATTTCACTTTTAATTTAGGTACATAACCAATGATTTCCCTTTCTTGATATAACTCAGCATATTCAAGAGCCACATTTGACCTATCCATGAGCTGCTTCATATAATCACATGCTTTTATTTCTGTAGGATCGGTCTTAGACAATGAGAATGATGCATGTGTTCATTATGCTCATGGCCTATATATGAGCATATCAATTTAGGGCTGATCTCATCAGCCATTAATAATAGTGGAGTTTTACCTAATTGAACTATTGTTGTCCTGAGTTTTTAGTCATCAACTAAATTTAATGTACAGACATGTTTAACTCATTAGTAAGCAAGTTTATCATGCTTTTATATTCCTTTAGCTTCTTTTGTTTCTAAACAGAAATGGTAAATTCTTGTTCATTATAGTTTTAAAATTATTACTTCTTTTCCATATATCAGGTGCCATCAGCTGAAGGGCTTGTAGTTAGGGTTGTATCATCTGTTGACAAAAAATTGGAAGTAAAGCAGCAATTTCTCGAGATATTTGAGGAGGAAAATTACCCTAAAGAGTTTCCCTATAAATCCAAGGTACAAAAGCTACATACTTGATAAACCATGGAATGCATGATTCCTATTGTCCTACTCTGCAGAAATAGATTAACCAAACTTTCAAAAAAATCTTAAGTAGTAGCTCCAAGTTTATGATGAAATCTACATAGTCTAAACTAACTGACCCTTGTTTCAGGCTATATTGTTGTTTCAGAAGATAGAAGGTGTAGAAGTATGCCTATTTGGGATGTATGTTCAAGAATTTAGTTCAGAATGCTCTTTCCCTAACCAACGGCGTGTCTATCTTTCATATTTAGATTCCGTCAAGTACTTCAGGCCTGAAATCAAAACAGTGACTGGGGAAGCTTTACGGACTTTTGTTTATCATGAAATTCTGGTACTTGGAGTTCTTTAGCCTTTTTATTGATGTTCTCAAAATTAATCTGTTTCCATATTTTTTTGGTGATTACATGTTTTTTCCTCCAGAAGCAATGATGATAAGGTGTAATTTGAGTCTCCTGTTTCGGTCCCATTATGAGTGATAAATGATTATGTGCCCTTACAGATTGGATATCTTGAATATTGCAAGAAACGGGGGTTCACCAGTTGTTACATTTGGGCTTGCCCTCCTTTGAAGGGTGAAGACTACATACTGTACTGCCACCCTGAGATTCAGAAGACCCCAAAATCTGACAAACTCAGGGAATGGTAAAGCTTCTAGTCATCTTTTTCCTTCAGTAAGTATTGTTTTCTTGATTCCGTTGTTTTTATCATTATTTTTTAAAACTTTGTCAGGTACTTAACTATGCTTCGAAAAGCTGCTAAGGAGAATATTGCAGTTGACCTGACTAACTTGTATGATCATTTCTTTGTAACTATGGGGGAGAGCAAGGCTAAAGTAACCGCAGCTCGTTTGCCATATTTTGATGGAGATTATTGGCCTGGTGCAGCTGAGGATATGATTACCCAACTTCGCCACGAGGAAGATTGTAGAAAACAACTAAAGAAAGGAAAAACGAAAAAGACTATTATGAAAAGGGCTTTAAAAGCTGTTGGTCAAACTGATCTTTCTGGAAACGCTTCTAAGGATGCATTGTTGATGCAAAAAGTATTTTCTTTTACTTGGGTCTTCATTATTTAGTAACTGAGAATTTCATCTTCATATCATCTTATAACAGTCTTGTAGAATATTTGCTGGGTTGTTTGATGGAGCCAAATTGATCATGTGTCTTGCTTATTTCTTAATTATTTTGAGAATTTTCCTGAGTCCATTATGTCCAGCTAACTTAACTATATGTGTTTTCTTTATACAGCTTGGTGAAACCATATGCCCTATGAAGGAAGATTTTATAATGGTCCATTTGCAGTATGCTTGCACCCATTGTTGCATACTTATGGTATCTGGGACACGATGGGTCTGCAGTAAATGCAATAACTTTCAACTTTGTAACAAGTGAGTATCTTTCTAAAGGGCAGCACTCTCATATTTTTGAAGAGCTAAAATATCATGAAAATCAACAACAAAAAAGGCAAAAACTAATTATCTTTGATCGATAGATGGTATCAATTGATGGAATATAGCTGATAGGGGCGTTTGATAGAGATTCTCCATATGTCAAATGTAAATTAGTTATTTCCATATTAATTGTTGCAAGTACCTTATGGCATTCGGTCATCTGATGCCAGTAGGTATGCCAAAAATATGATGTCTTTCATTCTAGTATTGTTTTGTTACTTATTTTATTCACATGCTTGTCCTCAAACATGTTTTGCTCTTATTTCTAGCAACAGGAGGCACTGTTTTTAAAGAATATAATTCCCTTTCTCTTCATGTCTCATCTTCTCTCTATTCGCTACTTTTTGAACTTCTACAAGGAAGAAAAGGATGAGTCAAATGGCAAAATAAATGAATTGAAGAGCAACTAAGCAATTATTGAAATTTTGTTTTGAAGCTATAACATCACCTATAAATAATATGGTTCTAATTATCAAGTCATACTCTTTTTGTTTTGTCTACTCTGCATTGATTGTTTAAATATCATGATTTATTTTCATTCCTTTTAAAAGAATTATCCTTGACTAATTGCTTCTGATAGGCTATAAGTTTGAAGATTATATAACTGCAATCAAGTAAATGTACTGAACATCATTGACTAGTTGATGCTTCTAAATTTATATGGTAGTGCTATTCCTTAAAATTCAGCGAAGTGATTATCTAAAGTTATTTTACTGCTTTTGGGCCTTTTTTGTTCAAAACTGACTAGTCTAGAAGTGCTTAACTTGGTTCCACTTTAGTGACTTTTCTGCATGCTGCCAAATTGGTGGACTTTAAACTCGACTATATAATTATTTCTTGGCAATAGGCAGCCAGGTGCATGAGGTTCCTGCACCAATATGGGATCTAGGAAAGTTCAAGTCTGCTTGTCCTTTTAAAAGTCTTTTACTGCTTTCTGGCTTTCTGTTTCGAAACAACCTACTTTTAGGTGAATCTCGTCTCTTATTGTTGCTGCCTCTTGATGACTTGTTCAAATAGATCATTGATGGTCCTCCAATTTTGAATCGGTCACTATTGGAAACAATAAAGTTGAGCAAATGAGTTGTCTCTTTCCGTTTGGAGAGGGCTTGTGAACTAGGCTTTTGTCAATGTGGGGTCTGGGAGGGTAAGATCTACATCATCAAATTTTTAGGTTTCATTGGCTTTTGGAAGATTTACTCAACCACTGGAGGATCATTGGGACAGATCACTATCAAATTAATACAAAATGATGCAGTTTAGTTTTGGTTTTACATCACTATGGTATTGGTTTTCTACCTTCCGCTACTACTTTCTGCTTCCAATAGTTGATAATTAATTATCCATGTAGTCAATTCTCTATTAATTATGTTTGAGTGGATCCTCATGGTGTAATGAGTAGAGAGATTTCATAAATGACAACTATTTTAACACTGAGAACAGCTTTGAAGGTTCATATGAATTTTCTTAACCATGGTAAAGTATATATAATCTTATAATAGGTTGAGAAGAAACTTTGTTTTATTTGTTAAAGGGTAAAAAGAAAAAGGATTAAAAGGAGGAAAACAAGCTAGTTTGGAAGCAGGTTTGCACCCTAATCAAGCATCTTGCCCATTACAAAATTAGAACTGTTAAAATAACTGAATACTTTAATACATACAAGATTTAGTGTTATTAGTTTGAACTTTGAAGTGATTCAAAAGGAGGAATACAAGCTAGCTTGAAAGCAGGTTTGCATCCTAATCAAGTTTCTTGCCCATTACAAATGTAGAAATGTTAGAATAACTGCATACTTTAGTACATACAAGATTTAGTGTAAGTAGTTTGAAGTGATTCAGCCATGAACTTTGGACCAAGGTATGCAATTTCGAATAATACCGTCCGGTACGGGCGGTATGTACCGGTCCATTAGCTTACCGGTACATAGACTGCCCGTTACCGAACGGAATGAAATATATATATATATATATATATATATATATATATACCGAGCGGTATACCGAACGATATACCGCTCGGTATACAGTTTCATACCGTACCGAGCGAACATCGAAACTCCGGTACGGTACGAAATTGCATACTTTGCTTTGGACTACTCTGGTTAAATGTCTTTCCTCATTGGTCCTATGTTGCTTCTAAATGAATTTATTCTGCTCAAACATCCATGTGTGTTATTCTAAGAGGAGCTGAAAATATTGGAGTCTGGAACTGATTTGTTTCTATTGACTTGTAGGTGCCACGAAGCAGAACAAAGAGTTGATGAAAGGGATAGACATCCTACTAATAGTAGGGAAAAGCATACTCTGTATCCAGTGAGTTATTGTAATGGAAGGCTCATTCTTGTGTTTCCAATCTTATCTTCTTTTGTGTCTGTGTATACATCTCACAAAAGACCTGCATGCTTGTGGCTGAGTTACTGTTATTGTGTATTTTTTGTGTCTATTACCAAAACTTTGATCCAGTACACATTTTTATCCTGTAGGTTGAAATAAATGATGTCGCTCAGGATACAAAAGACAAAGATGATATCTTAGAAAGTGAATTTTTTGACACCAGGCAGGCATTTCTGAGTCTTTGTCAAGGAAACCATTATCAATATGATACTCTTCGCCGTGCTAAGCATTCATCAATGATGGTTTTATATCACCTCCATAATCCTACTGCGCCTGCATTTGTGACCACATGCCTTGTCTGCCATCATGATATTGAATCTGGTCACGGCTGGCGTTGTGAAATTTGTCCGGATTTTGATGTATGCAATGCTTGTTATCAAAAAGGTGGTATCGATCATCCTCATATGTTGACTAATCATCCATCGATGGTTGATCATGATGCACAAAACAAAGAAGCTCGGGCAAAACGAGTCTTACAGGTAACTTTATTGAATAAAATTTGCACTTTATTTTAGATGTCACCAATTCATTGAGCATAGTATCGTGTTAATTCTTAGTCATTGTCATGCTGTCCTTTTTGTTTCTTTTAGAATGTTTCTAACATTTTCAGAACCATTATTATGTTTTTTTATAAAGAATTTCTATAACTCTTAAGCTTTTTTTTGTTTTCTTTTTGTGGAAGAATACAGATAATGAATTAGTTTGGTTATCAAAATGACAGTCAAAAGATATAGCCCTGTATTGAATTCGTTAACATGAAGATTGCATAACAATTGTTTTACCCAGGGATAGTCATACCATGCAGATCGATGGTATCAGTCCATGGATGCATCGGTATCTTCCGATCGGTACTGGTGTGCCATATTGATAAGACCCTAGGGTTTTATCATGGAAGAAAGGGGAGAAAAGGGAATGATCACTTCGAGAGGATCGGCCTCCTTGATCACTTCGAGAGGATCGGCCTTCTAGGGTTTGTCAAAAGACAATAATATTTCATTGTCTGCCGAAAAGAAACGGTAACATCATTATTTATAGAGTTCCACCCAGAGTCCACTAGGACTTGGACTCTAATAATAAATATTAAATAAACCTCTATCCGACTCTAACGAAACTAAACATACTCAATAAATATTATTCAAAAGTTTAGAAAATAAAAGGATCCTAACAATTCCTCCCTCTTTAAATCAACCTTGTCCTCAAGGCTGAGCAGCATCAAACTCGGGGAGCTTCTCTTTCAGCACTTCAGTCATAGGCTATCTGCAGCGCATCACAACCCGTTGATCAAGTAAGTATGATCTCCACTTTTTGATAGTGTAAGCAATAGGTCAGCGTTTTAATGTAGTAATCATTGTAAGAATCTCTTGGCCCTGTATAATCAGTTTTATCTTTGAACATTTGCTATCACAAGTTAAAATCCGTCCATCAGCGATCTTTACTTCGAATCTGTTACAACCTTCAATGTGGTAGGTCAATCGGTCAGCAGCTTTATTGTCCATAAAATTGTTAGTGCTACCAGTATCAATCAAAACTATAACATGCTGATATTCCAGAGTTCCTCCAACTTTCATAGTTTGCGGGTTAGAGTAGCTAGTTAATGAATGCACTATATGTATGATAGGTCCAACATCTTCATTAGAATCCATACCTTCATGATCGGAGTCCACATTCTTAGCTTCCGGTTCCTCGTCAATTGGTTCAATTATAAGAAGTTGCCCTTGTTTACATTGGTGCTCCCTACTCCACTTTTCATCACAGTGCCAACACAAACCCTTCACTGATCTTTCCTTGAGTTCTTCTCGGGTTAGTCTTCGGGTGTTAGGGTTCCAGTTGAGAATAGATGGGGCGAGTGGCTTGTTGGTCATATGTTTGTGGTTACTTTTGTTTCGACGATTTTTCCTGCTGAGTTTTTCCTCATGCAGGCGTGCAAATGAGATCGCAACTATCATAGTACGGGGTTGACGAGCCTTAACTTCACACCGGATATCTGGATTAAGTACTTCAATAAATGTACACACAAGTTGTCGTTCAGGCTAATCTCTGGCTTGATTTGATAATCTTTCAAACCTGCTCTGATATTCCAACACAGTAGAATTCTGACAAATTTTGACGAGCTGTCCATCAACATTCTTGTATTCAAATGGGCCAAAATGAACAAGAAGCCCTCTCTTGAATTGCTCCCACGAAGGAACTCTATGGCAAGTTTCATACCAATCATACCACTGGATTGCATCTCCGTCTAACTGGATTGAGGCTATTTCTACCTTGGATTTTTCTAGGGTCCTGTGAAAGCGAAAAAAAATTTCTGCCCTAGAGATCCAACTAGTCGGATCCCCATCTTCCCATCTCGAAAATCCTACCTTAATGCATGGGTAGTTTGTGTCACAATTTTGGGGCTCTTTTCCTGTATCTCTAGATCTGTTCAACGTAGAACTTGAGCTCCCATCTTGTTGCAAGTTGCTAAGGCTCTCTATTATGCTCTTTTTGAAATCATTAAGTGTTTCTTGCTGTCGGTTCTCAATTCTGATTTCTAATGCTTCCATTTGTGCTTTCACCGAGTTATCGGTAGCTATTGCGTAAGACTGCAAATATGTAATCCCCAGTTCTTGTTTCTGATGTCGACCCGAAGTTGCCGAGGAAGCGGACGCCGAGGAGGAAGAGTTGTTGCCCTATTTCTATTGCCATGAGGAGGGAGGCAGCGTTAAAACGGCCGGGGTTGAGAAGGGGAATCGGTGGTGCGTGCGTTGCTGGAGTTGAGGCAGGGCAGCGCAAAGATGTGAGGAGGAAAGGTCGCTGGTCGGGGAGTAGCGGCGGCAGTGGTCGAGGAGGAGGCAACGAGGGTCGCGGCTAGGGGCAGCATCGCCGACGGTAGAAGCGACGAGAGGGGTGGTCCGCTGGCTACGAAGTAGTCGTCATGGCCCTTCTTGCTCGAGTGAGATGAGGCAACGGGGAGGGAAGGTCATTGGCCGGGGAGCAGCGGCGACGGTGGTCGAGCGGCCGGGAAGCAGCGGCGGCGGTGGAGAAGGAGTTGCCTTGCAGTAGCGGTGGGGAAGAAGGGAAGCCGGGGTGCGGGCTGCCGGGAAGCAGGGGCGGCGGTGGGGAGGTGAGTCGCCCTGTCCGAGAAGCAACGGCGGTGCTAGAGAAGGGGAGGTTGGTGGCTGGGGAGTAGTAGCGGCGGTGGAGAATGGGTTGCCCTGCAGCGGCGATGGTGGTGGAGAAGGGGAGCGGGGTTGCGGCGGGATGGGACACTAGCAGCGTCATCTCCTGGCAGTTGTGGTGGCTCGGGTGGGAGGCAATGGGCGGTGGTGGGCTCTGGCCAGGAAGCGGGGCGATGGTGGTTGTTGGCCGGAGAGCAGCAATGGCGGGTGGGCTGGCCGGAAGCAGGCTGCGACTTCTTCTTCTTTCTTTCTTTCTCTCTCTCTCTCTCTCTCTCTCTCTCTTTTTGGATGATAACTGCAGCGAGAACGTCGAGGATCGCTGCTCTGATATCAAATGATAAGACCCTAGGGTTTTATCATGGAAGAAATGGGAGAAAAGGGAATGATCACTTCGAGGGGATCGGCCTCCTAGGATTTGTCAAAAGACAATAATATTTCATTGTCTGCCGAAAGGAAACGGTTACATCACTATTTATAGAGTTCCACCCAGAGTCCACCAGGACTTGAACTCTAATAATAAATATTAAATAAATCTCTATCTGACTTTAACTAAACTAAACAAACTCAATAAACATTATTCAAAAGCTTAGAAAATAAAGGAATCTTAAGGGATCCTAACACATATGTCGGTGTGCTAGTATATACCTGATTTTAAAACAAAGTAAAAAATGGTTAGAAATTCACAAAAAAAATCCTATTTTAGCATTTTTATCCTAATTTAATGATAATCTTATTGTATTTAATTAATAATAAAGTGTATATTAGTCATAAATGCAAGGTTTGTCTTATCGGTCCGTACTGATGTATCAACCAGTGATTAGTATGGTACGTACCGAGATGCATCAACATATCGTATATCAGTACACCAAAAATACCTGAAAAATAGAAAAAAAAATTACATTAAGGTTTTTAAGTTAGAAATAAATATAAATTTAGTATAATTTTAGCAAAAAAAATCTAAATTAGATAAGAATAGTAGCACATCTTTTTCGGGCTTGGAGTAGCTTTGTAGTACATTGCAAATCGTCCTTCCGTTAATATTGAATTGTCTACAAAGAAATGATTTGAATTGTTAGATTATTTTTTAAATAATTTAAACTTTTAGATTCAAATGAATTAAGTAATCGATCAATGGATATACCTAGTTCTACCTTTGTATCTATATATCAATTTGATATGTTTGGTGGACTCAATCCTAAAATTGATCTCATGATATAATGTACAAATACATCATATGTCATTGGTGCATTAATGTGGTGATGGTTGTAGTCTGATCGTTGTGAATCACATGTGTCCGAGGCAGCTCTTGAGGCAAAGACGAATGTGGCATATATTGATGCAAAGCATGGAAAATGTCAGAACTCTTACTTTCGCTACTGATCTGTTGTTCCATATCGTAAGATCGATTATCGTACTATTACTCAAAGAAGTATGGCCAACTATCATCGTGCTATCGTTGGTCGTAAGATTCTTCATAATACGATGGTTGTGAATACGATGAGCTTCACTCTGTGTTTACGTCATGTACGCTCTATCGTATCTGCTCAAAATCATCTGTTGTCTTCCCCTTCTGTGTATAAACTTGACCAATACCTTGTCGAGTTCCATGATCTAAATCTTGGATGACATATATAAAATACTATTCCTTGGTCCATGCACCATCCTTAAATTGTGTAGACAAGACCATTGACTCCCCAGCGTCATCGCCATCATTGGTCGAGGCATTGTTGTCCACGTTGCTGCCATGTCTCTAGACCGAGCGGGTTGTTGAATGCTATTGGGAAGGTGTCTCGTCGCCCGACTCGATTCTTTCCAATGGTGCAGCTGATGCTATTGCCTTCCTCTTTGCCTTTGCCTTTGTACGCTATGTCACGGACAAAGTAGTAAACAGGGTGTTCGATGTAATGCTTGTGTATATTTGTGATCTTTCAATTTTGTTCAAGCTTTGCACAACATATAGAAGGCTTGCAAAAAGCTTAGCAACCCCATTTTGATTGGCTTTCATGGTTCTTTGAGTCTTATAAACGCAAGTTGTATAGTCATCGTGCAAAGGGAAAACTACTCAGAAATAGACCATCCAGGTAGTCATTTTGGGATTTTTTTAGCTCCGTAAAGTGGTGTGAAGTGTCAGACAGCATAGCACCCAGGAGCTACTCGGGTGGCATATGGCTGAATGGGCCTTTGGGGTAGTATATAGGGCTGGTTTGCTGCTTTGTTCCGCAGTAGTATCTTATGGGCACTTATGGGGACTTTTGGTTACGGCGGACCACCTTAAACCCTTTGTCATGTGACCATTTAAAGCTTGTAAAATCTATGGTTATAATTTATATTGCCTATTAAGTGTTTGTTGAATTGGCTGCTTGTGGGATCCCAAGTTAAATGTTTCCTCTAATCTGTCTTCTCTTTTGTAGGTCCTTAAGAGACCATGAGAAGTTTCAGGAAGGCTGACCCTTTGCGAACGGACACGCAAGGGTATCGCACAACTTAGGCAACACCACCTAAGTCCATGACAACTAGGTGAACGACTGTGACGATTGGGTGTCTCTAGTTCCTTGAGCAGTTTGACTTGATGTTGTCTGGCTCCTTTCGCCATATTTTGACCGAGGGGGATCTTCCTCATGTTGGGGATTTGCTTCTTCTTCTTCTATTACCTCGATGAGAAAACACAAAGGACATTGAGGATACACCGCAATCTTAGCCACATGTAATAGTGGATATATACCAGTTTCTCCAACTGTCTATGCGATAGTCTGTTGTGGATCTTTGTATGAATCAATGCAAACGTTGACCAATTACATTCGCGACCACTAGATGTCGTTGTATGCGAAAGTACACGGACGACAACCTTCCTTAAATCTAGTGCGTCCCCTTCAAATTGTAGCCACCACTCAACTAGAAATTAGCCTCCCAAATTAGAGTGTTCTTCCTCATAAATCAATAAAAATCTAGCAAGAAAATACATACCTCTTGATTAGAGTGTTCTTCCTTTTAATCCCCCCAAATTGGCTTCTCAAATTTCATCTAATCCACAAGTCATAACTTTGTTGAGTTTAAGAGAATAAAAATGTGAGAATAAGAGAGAGATGTGAGTGAGAAAGACTTTAAGAGAGTTGAAAAGATTGAGAGAGTGAAATGAGTTGAAAGAGGGGGGAGGAAAGGGTTTAAAAACCCTTTCCTATTGTTCAAACGGTCAATTTGACCATTTGAAAAGGGCAATCTCAGCCCTTGATCGATAACGGTCAAAATCCGACCGTTACTGATCGGCACAGGTCGGTAACGATCAGAGTTTGATTATTATCGTCTGGTATAGACCCTGTATTGCCTGATACATGGTTATATAATGGTACCACCTGATAGAGGGTGATTCGTGTACCGGTCTCTGTCAGATTGGTATGTACCGTCCGTACCAGAGGTCGGCATAACGAACCTTGCATAAATGAATAAGAATTCTAGGTTGTAAGAATGAGAGAGTGCATGAGAGGGGGTGAGAGTGAGATGGGAGAGTGAAAGTGAAAAAGGGAAGAGGGAGGAGATTTAAAGCCCCAAAAGAGACCTCAATGATCAGTTTGACTGTTGGTGTTTTGGATCGGTATCAGTCAACTTCCAATCAGTACCGACAGATCTTAGGTAATACGCCATTAGTTTTAACCACATCAGTCAATACATCACCCATAACAATTGATACCTAACCTATTGTTTCACGTACTATCCGAAATGGGCTGGTTTGGTTCAGCCGATAGACTGGTACATACTGTCCATTTCGTATCATTTCAGGCAGTGTGTCAAACACTGGTTTTTCCAGGGTAACCTGTATTGAATCTGTAGTTCATAAGAAATAATAAACTCTTTCATTTTACCACATTCAAACAGGGAGCAATTGTTGAAATTTAACATGACTTTGTTGTCCTAACCTTGCTGATCGTTAGTTACGAATGGAAATTCTCTCCTGCAAATTAGAACTAATCTTCCTAATGTAGTTTGTTTTGTGTAATTATGCCAGTAGTGTTCTTTATCTTCTTAATAACACCAAGTTTCAATTACTTTAGAAAGATATCACCAAAAGGTTCATTTCAGTCCGAGTATATTAGATCTAAATACGAGTAGCTTATCCTTGCAATGACTAGAACAGATGAGCATTCTTGTAACTTGGTCTTGTGCAATTGATGATCACATCATCTGCAATATGGAAAAGAGGTGGTCTATGTGCCTGATTGTTTTAGTAGCCGTCGAGGTAACTTTTCTTTAATAGCTAATAATTGTTGATGATAAATCATTGAACAAACTCATATAGGCAATTGAGACATGACAGTTCTTATGAGATTTGTTCAAAGGAGCTTTTTTATGGTGAAATCTACTGGAAATGTAAAAAGAAACCCAAATTGATATTATGGTGTCAATAAACTAATTAAGTTCTGGATGACAAGGCTTTGTTTCAGTGTGGTTGTGCCTCTAGACTTTGGTTCAGATGTGTGGACAAATGAGACTGAATTGGAAAAGAGAAGATTGTAGGATTACGATTTGGACTCATGTGGATAGAACTTGAACACCTTGGTCAAGATGGTCAGACTGAGTGATACCTGGAGAACACAAGGAATCCTATAAACATCATCTAGCCTAGCCATGAAAAGAACTTCAGGGAAGAGGAACAAGATGGGGTTGGAAGGCACAAAGTCTAGAACTACAGTCAAGCAAACTCTCAGAACTGCTTGCTGCTTTGTCATAATATTATTACCAGCATATCAGAGGAAAACAGATATGTGCACTGATGTCTATTATGCATAAGAGAGAGAGTGGGTGAGAGAGAAGCTAAACGTGTCTATTATGCATAATATGAGGTAGATTAGTTGGTCAAGATATATATGATTAGCACTTGAGATCTAGACCTTCCAGTTTGCATTTAAACAAAAACAGCTGCAAGATTGGTGTCAGTTGCCTACAATTTTTCAGGAAACAAACAGTTGTATATTATATGATATAATGTTCTAATTTGTTTCTTAAACTCAAGACAGTTTACTCCAGATGATTGATCAAATAAGTGTGAAGGTTATCAGGGTGCTTGTCCTACATATTTCATGTTGATCCTTTTTCTGTATCCATATCTTACATGTTGATGAATATACAAGATTAAGGTCATCACTTGTGCTTTTTCAGTAAATTCTGACTAGTTTTAATAAGTATATCCAAAATTCATATATATATCCTGTGTATGCCTTGTATCTCCCTTCACTAAACAACAATAACAAAAGCAAAACCATATAAACATTACAATAATATGTACTGGATTTACTTTGGCAAATTATGAATAGTTCTGTTCTTTGACAATTCATATATGTTAGATTACACAAATACCTGCACGCTATAAACAGAAATATGCAGCAAACACAATGAATATTAAGAATCATGCAGTTGCCCAACTTCTCATATAACGTAAGGCTCCTATAAATGGTCTATGTGCCATCTTAATCTTGGTTCATCCCCAAAACTCAGAATCCTTCAATGCATTTTAAATTAGCTTAGGAAGTTAGAGATTTCCTTTGCTCAGCAGTTAAGTAGTCTAATCTGCCACAGATGACATAATCAAGGTTTCTCCAACGAGGGATTATCCATGGACCCTAAGTGTTCCTTGCTTTCTGTGTTTGTTCATTATACAAACTATATAATTTATATGATGTTGAATTTATGTCTATCAGGAGCATGCCAAGCACAAGATTGGTATTCTTTCCATCATTATTAGTCTAGCATATAATATTGTGGCTATATCCATTAAAGTCCTGCATATTCAGTATTTTTGCTTGTGCTAGTTCTGCAATATGCATTTATATAATTATGATCCAAAATTTGCTCATAATTAGTGAGCTCATCCTGTGTATGTGTGTGTAAAATAGACTTTGTTGCTGAAGTTTTTCTTTTTTAATACTTGTTGCTCAAGATCTCAAGATCCACAAACCTGTTTCCCTTTATAGGTTGACTTTCATTACTCGAAACAAAAAACAGATCATGTGGAGTAAAGTGTATTGCTTCAATTTGAAGGCCAGTTCTACTATTAATGTTAGTCAAATTCTTAGTAAAATTGGTTTCCTACCATTAGCCTCTATGACTTGTACCAGCCTTGGTTGATAAATAACAATTTAGATTTTTCAGTCTATATAATGTTTCTACTGATGCTAATATCTTTTGTACATCATATGTTGATACTTAGAATAGTAACAATGGGCTCTCAGGTTTTCATGCTGATATCTTTTTCATGCAATTTCTTAGAACCTAGTAGCTATGGACTCAGGTTTTCATGCAACGGATCTTTATTGAAGAAATTTTCACTTAAAATGCAATGCAAAGTATGTGACTCATGCTGCTTTACTTTTGGTAGAATCTAGATGTAACATTGGTCTTGATTTGTTTATTTTCTTGAAGTCCATAAAAGTTCTGCACAATTTGGCAAATATAACTATTTGCTATGATGTCCTCACACAAATTCATCTGTGCTGCAGCTTAGGAAAATGCTAGATCTTTTGGTCCATGCTTCGCAATGTCGCTCTCCTCAATGTCAATATCCTAACTGCCGTAAAGTTAAAGGTCTTTTCCGGCATGGTATACAATGCAAGATACGTGCTTCAGGCGGTTGTGTTCTGTGTAAAAAGATGTGGTATCTCCTTCAAATACACTCTCGTGCTTGTAAAGAATCAGACTGCGGTGTACCGCGATGCAGGTACTTCATTTATTCCATCTATTGTATTCTTCTTGATTATTTTAAGATGCTTTTTCTGTTGCCACCTTGAAAAACTGACCTTAAATTTTATTTTCTTTTTCTCCAGAGATCTGAAAGAACATTTGAGAAGGTTGCAGCAGCAATCTGATTCCCGGCGGAGGGCTGCAGTCATGGAGATGATGAGACAGCGTGCTGCTGAGGTTTCTGCGAATACCAATTAGCAAAATGTACAGAAAGGGTATTGTTAGCCAAGGATTGACGGGAGACTAGCCTCCACACACCACATATTCATACTATTTGAATACACAGCCAACGGTGGTTTAACAGATCAAAATGAGGTTGATGAATCAGTGGTATGACATGACCCAATTGATAGAACAGGAAAGTGGACTTCCACCTGTTGTGTCACTGCGACAGAAAGTTCATCTGCGAGACCATAACCGTGCCCTTCCGACCTGTGAAGGTAAACCAGCTGGAGGCGGTTCTTCTATTCTCATGCAGTAAAGTTCATCATTCGTGGATGATAATTGTATTATAGATGTTTTGATTCATCCATTCTTAGTTTCCAATCAGTTTCTTTACTCCTTGTGTCTTTAGCTGGAGGGAGTTGGGGAAGAGCGGGGTTGCACGACCAATGTGCTTTTATTTACCCTGTCCATTTTGTAGAATGTTGCTCCTTGAAAATGAAACTAGTAGGAAGCTCTTTGCCAACTTTTACCTTTTGTCCCAAAAAATTCATGTTACTGGCAAAAGAGGTCCGCAGAATGCTTCTCGAGTGATTCTCTCTCGGTTGGGGGGATCCACATTCTGAATTGGTAAAATGTATCTGCAGAGACATTAATGCATTACTAATATTAATGAAGTCCTTCCTGTAAATGTTAATTTGCATTGCATTGCATTGCATTGTGATCGCGTGATAGGAGGTAGTAGATGAAAATACCAACTCCAAGAGTATCAAATCATGATGAAATTAATTTGAAATATTATTTCTGGCCAATAAACAAATATCTTACGCTTAAAATTCCATTTGATTTCATCTCCACAAGTTTTGTGTGAGGATAACGTACCTCAACGACGTCAACGCACTCTTGGTTGCTCGAAAAATGAGTACGTGGATATGGTAGCAACAACAGAACTGAATCGATCTTCTTTTCTCATCATTTCTTCTCTTGTTTTCCTCTTTGCATCGGTTCAACATATCTTCCACGCGGTTGCTGGTCCCACATATCCATTCAACTCCGCTCTATCCTGTGGGCTAAATCTCAAGGGATAGCCACTGGGTTATACTCCAACACAATATGTTTAAATACGTTATATATATATATATAAACAAGAGAAGGGAAATCCACGGCGCCATAATCAAACAGGTGAACACCCGACAGCCACGTCGTATCCCGCGAGCACACCCTGTCCGACAGGGACGGAGTCAGCTGTCCACCAGAATAAAGACTTTTACCCTCCGGCCAACGTGGCAAGGCTAGTTGGGCAGAAGGCCCACCTGAAGATTGTGGGGCCGCTTCATAAAAGGCCAACAATTTCGTGCCACGTCCTCGCACATCAATAGAAGCTGCCGTGCGGCGGATAACTGATCCTCGCTCTCACTTCTCGCCTACCGCACGCACGCAAATATTTGTGGCTGCCGTCAGCTGCGCTCCAAAATTCCCACCCCATTTAGCTACATGGCTCGTCTCTCCTCTTCACATCTCACGCGCGAAGCAGAATGGCGCTCCGCCAAATCTACCACCACGAGACCGGCCTCCGCCCCTCCTCCTCATCCAGTCTCGTTGGGATTCCCGTCCCCAATCCCGGCCGCCTCCGGTTCAAGCCCTCCCCCGCGCTGCCGCTAGCGCGGCCACGAAGCGAGCTTGGCGGCGGCGAAGAGCAGGGCAAGGCGGAGAAGGGCGATGGGGATGCCAAGAAGGGGAGGAGGAAGGAGGGGGTGACTCTCGACGACGTAAACCCCGTGGGGCTCGGCCGGCGGTCGCGGCAGATCTTCGACGAGGTGTGGCGCAAGTTCTCCGGGCTCGGCCAGATCTCGCGGTCCCTCACCGACGATGACGACGGCCTCCTCCTCATCCGCGGTCCCATGTGCGAGTTCACTGTCCCCGAGGCCCAGGACACCACCGTTCTCGTCGTCGGCGCCACCAGCCGGATCGGCCGGATCGTCGTCCGGAAGCTCATGCTCCGTGGCTACAAGGTCAAGGTACGATCGAATTCCTCACCATATCCATATCCATGGCCTTTCGCTAATTGGGAAAAGTAACTTTATGGTGGATACAAAATGGAGGATTTCTTGATGGGTCAAGAAGCATTCTATGAAATCAATCACAATAAAAACCCGTTATTACTTCACACAGCAGTCCTGATTCAACTATCTTACTCTTGACCCACTTCCGATGTGGGATTAAATCGGAAAACAGTTTCGTAAGATAAACAAAGATAGGGAATGGCATGGCCATTGGATTATCTCTTGCTGCAATTACGGAAGACTTACCATGTTGTGATTCTAAGATCAATAGTTGCTTGTATGTCAACACTTTGTCAATTGGCTGTTCTTCTTTTGTTTGGTAGATAGCTGCCACATTGTACATTTATCTTGAAAGTTAAAAATTCCCATGAAAAGGTTTCTAGTAAATGTCAAATGATGTTTGACTCCATTTAGTTGTATAAGAGAATATTTTTTAGAAAAAATTGCAAGAAATTTTTATTATATCAAATGATGTATATGACGCTCACACATGGAAACTTGAGACTCATCATTTGTGCAACAATGCACTAACTAACTCAGATGTCTCAACAAAAATATATAAGAGAATATTTAAAATTTTATACCAGGCAAGTTATCATGTGTGTGTATACATGTAATTGACAAATTCTTACAGAAAATTAGTTTAGGGTATCTTCAACATCATGTGGATGACCATGGCCTTACTAAATGACAAGCATTAGCACCTTCCTTCCACGGACCTTAAATTTGAAAATAATAATTATTTCATGTTTCAATTGGTATAACATAAATTTATTGAAGAATATTGCTTATGGATATTCTTCATATTTTGATTAAAAAATTGTATGTTTCACAAAACATGTTACTAAATGAACCTACTAAATACAACAAAGCACAATTATCAAAAGGTTTGTAGATTTCAACCTGCTAAGTGCCTGACTTAAGTTACAGTCTTCATAACAACCCACTAAAAGTTGAAGTGTGAGCTTTCCAATTAATAAGAATGACAATACTTTTGTGGCAATGTGTTCTATGCTTTCTTTTAATTAGAAAATGACTAATATCTTAGAAATGGAACTTTACCATGGAAAGTTTTGGTCTAAGCTTTTTTAAATTTGCGTAATTTTTGGTAATCAATTTTGTAATGTTGCCTTAGTACCATATAGCAACTTTGTATGGGCAAAAGAAGTAGAAGAATTGTCAAAGCAAGGGATATGGGAATTAGAGAAGCTAAAAGATTTGGTAGTCTCAAAGAAATGCTAGTCTCAAAGATATGGGAATTAGAGAAGCTAAATTAGAGAAGCTAATTTAGCTGCCAAAAAATCAATGTAATGTATCATTGATAGTCTCAAAGAAAGCCTGTAGTGATGTAAAGTTTCCAAAATCTGGACTTAAGATATATACTCGAACTAACATTTTCATATAAACATATACACATGACATGCTTTCATAAATATAGCCATCAATTCCTAGAGCAATCAAGGAAGTTACATATCAGCAATATATCAGGTGAGTTCACCTCCTTAGTGCTGATATTATAATCTTTGCAAGATGCAATATTTTCATCATAATCAATGCTCTTCTAATTTCCAGAAATCTTGAAAAAGGAAAATCTGCTGCAATGTTATTTCCAATAGTACATAATTATCTTATTGAGATACTAATACGTATGTTACTTTGGCTGCACATGGGAGATTTCTCTTGAAGAATGGTAACAATTGGAGGAAGCTAGTCTCATAGATACATTCCTACTAAGAAGCTAAATCAGAATTTGCTTGATTTACTTGCCATCGAGGTTGAAAATCATCTTATTTGTTTAAATCATTTATCAGGCTTTAGTAAGAAAAGCTGATCCCGAAGTGATAGATATGCTTCCAAGATCTGTATCCATAGTGGTTGGTGATGTGGGTGAACCTTCAACACTGAGAGCTGCTGTCCAAGGTTGCAATAAAATAATATACTGTGCAACTGCACGCTCTGCTATTACTGGGGACCTAAACAGAGTTGACTACCAAGGAGTCTGCAATGTCACCAAAGCATTTCAGGTACTTTTCTGTCGATCATCCTTACTTGCTCATCTTTCACTTGTCATAGTGGCTTTCTTGCCTAACATATTCATAGGTAGCGCAGCAGAGGTCTTAGGTCATTGGAATTCTTCTTATGCTTGCAGGATTATAACAACCAGCTAGCACAGCTAAGAGCTGGTAAGAGCAGCAAAAGCAAACTCTTGCTTGCTAAGTTTAAATCTGCTGAGTCACTAGAAGGTTGGGAAGTTCGCAAGGGAACCTACTTTCAGGATGTAGTTGCTGCCAAATATGACGGAGGAATGGATGCAAAATTTGAATTTACAGAGACTGGTGATGCTGTCTTTTCTGGTAGTAATGAAGTACCACTCATCTATCCGTTTCCTTGAATTCAAAACCAAGCAATTAATCTTCCATTTTGACTATAATATCCCGATTGGAACAATGAAAATTCATCCTCATATTGAATGGTGTAAAAAAAAAAAAATTTAGTATCTTCTCTAATTCCTTTCCTTTTGCAGGATATGTTTTCACTAGAGGTGGATATGTTGAACTTTCAAAAAAGTTCTCTCTTCCATTGGGTTCAACCCTTGACAGGTGCTTTATATCTCCCATTAGTGTGGTTCGATGCATTACATTGTTTTCTGTATCGATGGTATTGCTTGAACACAATCCACTGCTTAATCTTGTTCAATCACATTGTCAGATATGATGGTTTGCTTCTATCTGTTGGTGGAAATGGGAAGTCGTATATATTGATACTTGAGACTGGCCCACTAGCTGATACTTCTCAAAGCAAATTGTATTTTGCTCGAATAAACACAAAAGTGGGTTTCTGCAGGGTGAGGATTAGCTTAACTTTGTGTCTCTTAGATTTTTTCTAACTCATCTTTTACGTCAGTTGGGTATAATAGTGTTTAACTACCTCATCATCACTGCAATATGCAGGTAAGAGTACCCTTTTCATCTTTTCGTCCAGTAAAACCAGATGATCCTCCACTAGACCCTTTCCTTGTGCATACATTGACAATCCGATTTGAGCCAAGAAGACAGGTTTAACTTTAATATTGAACTTTGAATCAGTTTAGAGCTCAATTTTATTTCATTTTTCTGTAGTCATGTGATGGAATCTTTCTTCTGAGGTGTATGCAATAATGCTTCCTGCAGAAACTTGTTGAAGCACCTGGAGCAAATAAGCAGGATCCCAGAAGCTTCAAATTGATAATGGAATACATAAAAGCCTTACCTGTGAGTTCCCATATCATATGAATAATCTGCACTACAATCCTTTAAAGGAGGATTTAGCTATATTTCTCTAAGTATCATTAACGAGACTTGAATTCAAAACTGTAAACTCCCTAATCTACTTAGGCAGTAAAATGTTTAAAGGGAAATGAATCTGCAAGGCCATTCATTATGCATCCAACAACACTCTCTTTTAGAACTAATTGTTCTTTCTATAAGTTGATTCATATCTTCTTTA